GATAAGGAAAATTTTGGTGCATAACAAGTCCATATGCCTGCTTGATCAGGCGGAAAGTCTATTCCTGCTTGCCCAGGATTAATGAATATATACACAATATACATGATGAATTATGAAGTTAGATGAAGTTAATTCCAGTTATTATTGTGGAAAATGGAGCGAGGTCTTTTGAAGGTTTGATTAATTTTGCTGTCATAGTTTCCAAGTTTCCTAATGACTTGGTTGACGTGGTGATCACATTTATGGTGGAAATTTTTTGATAGTTTTAAGGAATTTCTTCGTTAAGTTGAGATAAATTTTAAGTACTTTCTTCCGGATGACCGAATTTCTCAACGTACCAGGGGGAATTCGAAATTATTCTTAGATGGATGTTTTCTTGTTTCTGAAGGAGCAGTCGATTGGTTTCGCAGTGGCTGCCCAGGCTGGTGCTGCATAGAGGATAATTGGACGGATAAAACATATCATCTTGCATATACAAACATACACATACAAACACACATACAAACATACAATGGTGGCCAAAATTGTGGACACTTTTGGAAATTTTTATGTTTTTGAACTTTGTATGCTTATAGAAAACGATACGTTTCACAAAATGCAAACTTGTATATATCATTTTAAAGAGAATTTATTACTGAATTCAATACAAGACACAAAATTCAATTATTTGCAATACAAAAAAGTTAAACGAGAATAGTTAGCGATATACATTAGATAGTGATGATTGCAGTGAGTTATCAGTACTTAGTAGGGTACCCTTTATTTTTGATTACAGCTTCACATCGAAGTTTCATTGAGCTGACAAGAGTTTTAAGCTCCTCTTCCGTTATTACATGATGCCAGGAAACAATTATAGCCTCAATTAGTTCCCTTTTATTTGATAGGCGCTTCATTCGGACAAGAGTTTTCAAACGGTGCCACAAATTTTCGATAGGATTGAGGTCAGGACTGTTTCCTGGCCACCAGGGGCGTAGCTAGAGTTTCCAGCGCCCGGGGAAAATTGAAGAATTTGCGCTCCTTTCTGTGTGCCAAGAATATAAAACGTTTCATTAAAAAATTTCGTAACATGAATTTGGCGCCCCTTGGACGCTGCGACCGGGGACAGATGTCCCCCTTTGCCCCACCCTAGCTACGCCACTGCTGGCCATGACAACAATTTAATGCTTTTTGTACGAAACCACTCTTTCGATATTTTGGCCGTGTGCCAAGGAACAGAATCCTGCTGAAAAATAAACGAAGCATTGTTGGGAAAGAGATCTCTGATGGAAGGTAGAAGTTTTGGTTCTAGAATAGTGTTCTGTCATCAATAGATGTGGTGCACCTTTTTCGGCCTTTTCCTTCTTAGTTTTTTTATTCAATTTGTCTCCTGATATCGTAAACAAACCTTTCGGACTCCAGATGTAGTCACTGAACCACCCACCTGTCTTGCAATTTCAGCATAGGAAAGACCACTTTTTCATAATACAATAATATTGCATCTCTTTCTAGATGTCCAATCTACTCTTTTATTTGATGTCATTGCTTCTTGACTAAATATTAACATTTTTTACAAAAATTCCTACTTGTAATTGCAGTGTATAAGAAACAGGTCCTCCTTCTACAGAACAAAGCAAAATAATGAATTGTTTCAAGTGTAAACATGATGTTAGCTTCTACTGGTAGTTACTAACATTTGATTCGTTCTCAGAACAAGAACAGTGATTGGCCAGGAAAGCTAGACATTACAAACCACTTCATAACTGTGTTTTTTTATTTATATTAAAGTACATATAACTTTTTTTTGTATTGCAAATAATTGAATTTTGTTTTTTGTATTGAATTCAGTAATAAATTCTCTTTAAAATGATATATACAAGTTTGCATTTTGCGAAACGTAACATTTTCTATAAGCATACAAAGTTCAAAAATATAAAATTTCCAAAAGTGTATACAATTTTGGCCACCACTGTATATATATTATATAAAACGGAAAGAAAAATTGCATAACAGCTGCATATTAAGAGAATGGAGATATTTTTCTGTTTATATAAATGAACTCTAGCATTCTTCCGTGTCACTAAATGCAATTATAGATACGTGGGTACCATCTTACAGCGCCGATGACACCAGAAAATCCAAACTTTCGATTGAATCATAATTTTATCTTATTTTGTTGAAAACTATGTAAATTTATCAATATGGTGAAAATACCAGATCAAATAGCATATGTAACCTCTCAAATGCACCAACTTGACATTTAATTCTCAGTCCAATATATCTGTCATTACCAATATATCTCTGATGACTTCCAGATGCAAAAACGTTTAAGGCAAACAAAACTTGTTTTAAATAAATAAATAACTATACATATATATATATATAATTTAACAATTTACATTCAAGTTACTTAAAAACATCTTTCGAAATAGAACTTACTAAGTATGGATTTACTCTTTTCAGATAATTCTACTATATTTAATCTTAGGAGATAATATAATCAATATTATTTAGTAAATAAATTATTATATATATATAAACTGTATTATAAATATATCAACGTATGCAGTGAAAGGAAATTGCAGTACATAGTTCTATTTATACCCTTTTTAAATCGATCTCACCAGCGACCATGAGGTGAAATCACTGAACATTGGTAGTTCGGTCCAAGGTCCGAATACCGCGAACGGGTTGGCTGCATTACCAACATATCTCTGATAACCAATATATCAATATACCTATCATTACCATTACATCATATAACCAATATATCTGTCATTACTAACATATTTCTGGTAACTTCCAAAAGCATAAAAATAAAAATTTCATACAAAACCTGTTTTAAATAAATAACTATGTACATATATAACTATATTATAAATATATTAACTAATGCAATGAAAGAAATTGCAGTACATGTTCCTAATTATACCCTTTTTAAATCGATCCCACTAGCGGCCGAGCGGTAAAATCTCTGAACACTGATAGTTCGTTCCGAGTTTCGAATCCCGCGATCGGGCTTACTGCAGGGGCGTCATTACCAATACATCTGTCATTACCAACATATTTCTCGTAAATTCCAAAGGCATAAAAATTTAAGACATACAAAACCTGTTTTAAATAAATAAATAGCTATATGTGTATATAAATGTACTATAAATATATTAACATATGCAGTGAAATGAAATTGCAGTACATATTCCTATTTATGCCCTTTTTAAATCGATCCCACTAGTTGGCCGAGCGCTAAAATCTCTGAACACTGGTAATGCGGTCCGAGGTTCGAAACCCGCGAACGGGCTGGCTGCATGGGCGTCATTACCAATGTATCTGTCATTACCAACATATCATTGGTAACTTCCAGAAGCACAGAAATTTAAGACACGCAAAGTCTGTTTTAAATAAATAAATATATATATATATAACTGTATTATAAATATATTAACAGATGCAGTGAAAGAAACTGCAGTACAGATTCCTATTTATATCCTTTTTAAATTGATCCCATGAGCTGCCGAGCGGTAAAATCCCTGAACACTGGAAGTTCAGTCCAAGGTTGGAATCCCGAGAACGGGCTGGCTGCATGGGCGTTTTCGGGGTTTTCCCCATGTGTTACGTGTATACGAGCTAGTTCCCCTTAGAAAGTCCTCCCCGAAGGCAATCCTCACTTAGGCAGATGGCCCTCGAGGCTTTGCGGTAATTACATAAAACCAAAACCAAGCACTTTAAGATATAAATAAAAATACACAAAACTGATGTAATATCTAAAGGCAGACCACATTAAAAAATCTGATAACTAATTATAAATCTTGCATTATAATATTTACAAGAATTTAACCGAAAATTATACAGGAATTTAACTTGTTTTATACAGGAGATTCTAGAAACTATTGGAAATTGACATTCATATCGGTACAGTTAAAACTACTTAAATAATTTTTTTTAACTCAAAGAATGATATGAATAAAAATACACAAAACTGATGTAATATCTAAAGGCAGACCACATTAAAAAATCTGATAACTAATTATAAATCTTGCATTATAATATTTACAAGAATTTAACCGAAAATTATACAGGAATTTAACTTGTTTTATACAGGAGATTCTAGAAACTATTGGAAATTGACATTCATATCGGCACAGTTAAAACTACTTAAATAATTTTTTTTAACTCAAAGAATTTAATGTAAATGTTGGATTTAGGATGTGAATAATTTGAATTATATACCGTATATTTTTAATGCACATGTCAATGTATTACATTTTTATACACTACAAATTAATATGAATGGAAAGGGATACATTATATATTAAAACATAAAATTTATAAATTACTCATCAAAACATGAAATTAAGTACATTGATAAATACATTAGTTTAAAAATTACAATTTTAAATTAAAAATATGCACTCCTTCTTTATATGTGAAATAGGAAAACACCAAATATATTATTTTCACTAAAATTTAATTAAGGAATTGCTACTGTAGAATAAATAAATAATGTAGAATCGTCAGCATCAAATGCGTTCTTTCTATCGCGAAATATTCGAGCTTTTCACAAATCTTAACAACCTTGACCTGTACGTTTGATTCTGAATATTTCATTTGAATACGAAAATTCTGTCATTTTACAGAATGATAATTGACGCTGCATTATATGATCATTATTTTTGCGATTTCCTGTGTTTCATTTAAATGAGATCTTAAGGGTTATAAAAAGATGCAAAAAATTTTGCTTTGTTAACTTTGTTATTTCGACTGAAAACTTTGAAGATTTAGAATTACAGGAAAAAGTGTTGAACTAAACGGAGAGAAAAAATGTTCGTTCATCTTTACATGACGGCAAAAAACTGGAAAGTTGTTCTATCTGGATTGCTAAGATAATGTAGTTTTAATCAACAGCGCTGAAAGGCAAAAGATAACACACCGAACCTAAATTGTAACTCTGAGAAACTCTCAGACTGTAATCCTTTTAGCGTTGCAGCTAGATTCTGGCGAGAATTTGATACTGATACTTCGACTTCTTTCATTCACTGTAACTGTAATAAAGATATAATGCGGCTATAGAAATTTTTAAAATTTCAAGTCGGTTTTATTCAACTTTGTGATTTAATCGAAACGTTAACTTGTGTTCATATGTGTGATATCGATAATTATTAACTTCGTGATATTTTCTGTGTTTAAACTTCGTAGATATATATCATTATAAATCAGTGATTGCAAACTTTGTGTGGCTTCTCGTATCATCATGGATAAAGTTGACAAATTGTATCAAAATTACGATATTCTTGCCGATCCGAAAAATAAACCGTCTGAACATGAAGCAGAATATTTAGAAATCATACAGTCTGTGAAAGGTGAAACGAATGAAAAGATGTTGGCTTGCCAGTTTATTCCTCGCTTTTTGAAAGATTTTCCACACTTACTTGAAACAGCTCTAGATGCTCAATTGGACTTAGTCGAAGATGAGGATATATCAATACGCAAACATGCTGTAAAATATTTGCCAAGTTTCTGTAAAGATTCAAAAGAGTTTGTTGCTAAAATATCTGACGTTCTAACTCAGATGCTGCAGTCTGAAGATTCAGCAGAATTAGCAACTATACAAACGGCACTTATGACTATTATGAAACTTGCTGTAAAAGAAACACTTCAAGGCATTTTTATTCAGATCTCTCAGACAGATGAAGAGGTTATTCGCAAGCGTGCTATCCAATTTCTGTGTACGAAATTCAAGTTTCTTCCACCAGATCTTGCTACGAAAGAAGTTGAAGAATTTGTTCTAGAATCCTGCAAAAAAGTATTTCCAGCGGTAAGTGGTGAAGATTTTTTGAGTCTTATGCCTCTGTTATCAAATCTGAAAATTGCTAAAACCATATCCATTCAACAAGCTCTAGTAAACATAATTGCTGACCAAGCAGAATTTGATGCTGAATTTCAAGCTTCCCCAGAAAATGTAGAAGGTTTCTTACAATGTGTACGTCTTGCTGTTCCATATTTTACACCTTTTGTTAGCTCTACACAATTTGTTAGTTACATTTGCTTGTTTGTAATGCCAAAATTGGATGAAATTAAGCTTTTGGAAAATGGATCAGAATTAAGTTTGGAAGTAATCAAGACTTTAGCTGAAATATCGCCATTTACCACACAGAATGAGCATACAAATGAATGCACTGAGGTTATATACCGAATTTTGTTGGATTATATCCCGTTACCACCTCCAACCGATGCTGAAAATGGTTCAAAAATTGAAGAACCAAATTTGCAGTTCACTCATATTGAGTGTTTAATGTTTACCTTCACACAACTTCTAAAACATAATGCAGAATTTTTATCAGCTTCAGAAAATTCTTCGCGTCTTAAGGATCTGAAAGCACGACTTCAGTTTTTGGCTAGAGGTGTCCAAAATGGTATAAAAACTTTTAAAGAATCTCTTGTTAGTAACAAGACAAAAGAAACAAAAGTTGATGAAACAAAATTAAAGGCTATTGCATTACGTACCATGAACAATATAAATTCACTCATCAAAGATTTATTTCGTAGCCCTCCTACTTTTAAAACTATAATCACACTTTCTTGGAAACCTGTGACTGCTGTTTCTTCAAAGGTACCTATAACTGCTGGCGTCAAACGTGAATCAGATGCAAATAATGAAGACAAGAAACAAGCTAAAAGAGATGCAAAAGCCGGTAGAGAACTGTATATACCTCCTAGTGGGAAATATAGTACAAATGTGAATGCTTTTTCTCGTACTCGAGGCTCCAGTTATTACCCAAGAGGAAGAGGGCGTAGATTCTATTAGACACAAAGATTACATCGCGCAAAAACTTAACCTGACATCTTTTCCTCGGTACTGACTTTAAATTATATTTGGAATATACGTTTTCTATTGGTCTTCTGCGTTTCAATTCATATCACCACTTGATGTCATAGAATAATAAAAATGGTAATATTTGACAGTGCATGTTTTGAAGTTTTTAGCTTGATAGACTTTATGTATTTGTGTACATTTAGATAAAATCAATTTATCCAAACACAAGCACTTTATTAATATATTTTCAAAAGTTTTAATCTTTGATAAATTGAAATTTTGAAAAAAAAAGTTTAATGCACTAAGAAATTGGAAGTAATTTATATTTTGAAAAATATTAGTTTGACTTGAATTTTGGTATGACTTTGAGCCTTAGTGGAACTAATAATATTTTTTATTCATAATTTCTGAAGTTGTAGTATTGTATTTAAAAAATGTGGTTAATGCAATATTTAAACTAAAATTTTAGCCAGCTCAAAATCTCTTCTCTTAAAATTTGTGAGATGTAATTAATTGTACTTGTATTTTACATTTTTTAACAGGTAATTTATTTGATGGCAATAAAATTTCATGAACAATTTGCTTAATGACTTGTGAATATTAAAAATATATGGTAAAGAAACTCGTCTTTGTGGCAGTGTTATTGTATGTGTATAATTTAGTTTTTTTTCTTCAAATAGAACTCAACTATTGCATGTCTTGATTCATGTAGTATAGATTTTTCTGGCCGTATCTTATGACGCTTAAGATAATACAGCTTAAAAGTAGAAAAAATGTTGGTACATCTATTTTTACATGCTTAAAGGAATCGACTAATATCTGCATATTGGGAAAAACAGGTATCATAATTGGGTAAAGTGCAGAATCGCCCACTTATATGGCACGTGTTATTGATGTATACATGGACAAAGTCAATGGGGTGCACAATGCCCTTAAGTGAAAATAGGTCGATGTGTACATGGATACCAAGTTTGTGCAGTCTTTAACTTGCTATTTTCAAGTTGGCGATTTTGAGAAACGTACGAAGCAGTGGGTGATTCTACACTTCAATTTATTTGTGTTTGACAGAAATATATGTTTTCATTTTTTATTAGAACAACTTTTGCAACAGTTAAAGCTTTTATATTATATACCAGGGTTGGCCAAACTTCATGTCAGTAAGAGCCGCACATTTGAATTCAGGAATGTTCGAGAGCCGCATTTAGATTTTTTTAAAAGCCACAAGTCATATTTACATCATTATAGAAGTAGTGGAGGAGGTTTTAAATAGAAAGAAATCCCTGATAACTTTGTAAAAAGAGTCTAAACTAATTAATTACTTCTTTTTGGACACTGGTTTTAGTTTATCATATTTTATATGCAAAAGCCATACAAATTGACTGCGAGAGCCATACTTTGGCCACCCCTGTTATATACCCTACTCTTAATGCATGTTTTTTTTGTTTACTTGTATATGGGGAAACAATACAAAACTTATCTTGATCAGCTGAAATTTTACAGTAATCATTGCTTTTATAACAGCTATTGCAAGATCATCAAGCTACCCAGGATTTTGGTCAAAAATAATAATATCCATTTGAAGGTAATGTTTTTAATTTTGGCATGCAATTAATTTTAGCTGTCCATATATTACAATTTATATTTTAATGTAACACATACTCATTTTGTCGGCATAATTTTATGTACAAATATGAGTAAATATTGGACTTGAATGTGTTTTAGCCCACTTTTTTTTTATAGGTGCTAAAAGTGCCAAATATGGTTTCACACAATCCTTATGGCCATTTTATAATCTAATTATTTTATTGGCTAACTGAGGTGAGCAGTTTATTTAAAATTAACTGTTAATTTGAATGATTAAATGAAGCTCATTAGATTTTTCTCATGTGGTGGTTGTTTTTTGGAAGAGAGGTTTTTTTTTCTTGTGTATTTTTGCCATTTCTTTTTCATATATTTCATTAAATACCCAGGCACTGTGGATTTATTTGTAATGCTCAAAGAGATGATTGAATGTATATCTATTTAAATTACCGTAATTTCGCACGTATAGTCCGTAGACACGATTTTATATAAAAAAAAATTTAAAAATTGTCAGATAGTCCGCGGACTATACGTCCGAAATTACGTTTTTTTAATACGGCAATATTCCCATGCTTTTTAAACACATCTTTTGTTTGCGCAAATTTCTCACCGCTTTCTTGTCCACTTCAAAATAACGGAGTAAAATCCTAGTATACGGTGCAGCCTTGGCGCGACTTTGAAAATTATCGCCAACACCAAAAATGATCCAAAGAACGTCTATATATATACTATACACGCATAGTATATATACTATATACATAGTATATACTATGTTTAACTATATATTTTCTTTGAATGACCCGTTAACTACTCATCGTATATGTCCCGTTTTTACTGCTCATCATAAAGTCGCCAAAAGTAGTCAAATCCCGTGTGCACCGGATACTAGGATTAAACCAATAACGGCCCGCTTCTCTATTTCCATCTTTTTCAGTTTTCTCAACTACCTTACCTTAAACTCAGCAGTAAATCTCCGGCGATGTTTCATCAACGTTTAGCGAAGATGAAAGACAAAATACTGTGCAAAATACAGTGCTAACGTGCTATCCTCGTGATAAGTGGTAATGAAATGTGACCTTCGACCCCACTCACTCGGTGTTGCCAAACCACGCTATAAGTAAACGAATCACGCTTTTTTTTTCGTACTCCAGGTACTTGCTACTATGGCTCCTAAAAACCGAGCAGACGCATCAACTACTTTTCCCCCTCCCGGCAGTTGTGCTAAAGCAATGCGAAGGATACTTGGAATCTCGCGCTTTTTTTATATTTGATCATCGGCAGTTCACGACAGCGTGTTTTTTAAATTTCAACAATTTTAACCGTGAACAACCAGCGTATTATCCGCACAGGTGGATAGTCCGCAGCTTCAAAAATTCGCATTTTAAACACAGATAGTCCGCGGACTATACGCGCGAAATTACGGTACTTTATTGGAAGTGCAGGGGAAACTTGTCATGATTGAATGGTATACAAAAGTTAATTTGATTACTTCCTTATTTTGTTTGTCCTAAGTATGGTAGTAATATGCATTTGTGTCGGCAAAAGGAAACTATGAATAGCAATGTAAGAAGCAAATGCATATGTTTGTAGGAGTATAAGGAAAGTTTCCTGGTTTAGCCAGAGCCATTTGAGTATATGTAATGTGTTGTGAATTACGAGGTGTTGGTTTTTTAAAATGGGAAATGAAGCTATGATGCAAGATGTGAAATTGCATGAACATGCTGTTGTTGATTGGCATATACTTTGTAGAGAAGTGTGGATACTTACATACTATGACGATTACCTAGATATCTCGCCAAAATTGGCAACCCTTGTAGGTTATACAAGTTAGCCCTAATATAGGTTATAGTGGTGGAAAAAGTGACAGCATGGGACAAGCCATCATCATTTGGATACCTATTTGGCGGAAAAACCAGGAAACGCCTTTCAATGCTATTTCGAAAGCTATTTCCTGCCACTTTCCTCACCATTAACTTCAATGTTTCCTTTTAACCAGTTTTAGGTAAATTAATTTTTTTAACTCGTATTTAGTATATAGTTTATATATACAGTCAAAAGTCTTTAATCCGGACTCGTCGGGACTTCGGCGATTCCGGATTATCGATTTTTCCGGATTATAGATCATCAGTTTAAATCTGGTAAGATGGCATGCAGAAATTATAAAACTAAAAATATGAAACCGTAATTTATAAAATAATGAGCAATTATGATCTAAAGGGTATCCAAATTTACCAAAAAAGAAGCCTAATATTTATTTGTTTACTTTATTAAACATTTCTTTTAACGCGCGGATGCGTAAAGCATACCTTACTCATAGCCGAAATTAGAAAATTGCAACCAGAAAACTATGTGATTTGTATTCGTGATATTTATAATGACGAGGAATTTGATTTAAATCATATCAAAGACGGAGTACATCGAAATTAAATACTACATTTAGTAAGGAATTATAAGCCGACTAAAATAAAAACATCTGCCCTGAAGATAACGATAGTGTTGACAGATCAACTTCCAGTTCATTGCGCGCCGCGACGTGCCCCCCCCCCCCCGCGCAGAGCAGCGTGAAATTGATAAACAGATTTCGGAACGGTTAGATAAACAAAGGATATGCTTTTATTCATTTTTTGTAGCAATTCGTTTTTTGTTTGATGGACATCGAAACATACTTTCGTTTTCTAGATCCTTTGGGAGCTCCAGCATCGGAAATTCTATTTGACATAATCGAAAGTTCAAGCTTACTAGAAAAGTTCAAGCTTACTTTTAGAAAATTGCTCTTACAGTCTGCAAAAAATAATAAGCCGGATCCAATTTGAAGATTAAGGAACAACGCAATTATCAACATTAACTGAAATAGATAATTAGATAATTTTAGCTTATACCGTCCGTCATACATTAAACGCGCACGCGAAAACGTATTCTGCACTTGCGCAGATGCATATGCGCAGTCGTAAATTTCTTGCGCACACGAGTAAAACGCCTATGCGCATGCGTCAATGCGGCGCATGCGCAGAAAGATTTTAGCTTTGAGGTCCGGATTATAGATCATTCCGGATTACGGGTGTCCGAATTAACGACTTTTGACTGTATATATACATACGTTTATTTATAATTATATATTCGAGGTTTTTGGTTTTTAAGTTTTCATTCCTTTATAATTAGGGCTTTTATTTTTAAAAGAATTTATAAACATAAACCAAAAACCGCCAATGAAGATTTTTATCGGCAAATGTTGTCAAAGTAGTCGACATAGTACATATGATGAATAATAGTGTAGCTTTGGTGGTAAAGTAGTGATAGTTGAGTGGATGAGAGTAAGTTTGGAAAAATGAAATGTGGAAGAGGAAAGCCAGTAGCAGTCACTACAGGTGATATGTGGTATTGAGAGATAATAGGTGTGATATTAAAAGAATGATAGGTGGTATTGAAAGAGAGACAAATAAATGTTTTTTAAGAGAGATTGAAAATAGATGAAAGGTGAGTTGAGTAGTAGTTGAATGGATTTTACTGGGATCCATCATCGTTTCGGACTGCTGGAAAGCATATTACTATCAATTACAATCTGCACTCCTGAG